AATATTATATTACCTAAAAGCTGATGTGGCGGTAATGTTTCAAGGTAATGTGATTACCCCCGTTTTCTTAAGTAATCTTAGATTACCTTGAATTATTCCAACTTTGCCCTTATTAACTAATCCTTAAATAATAATAATAATAATAATAATAATAATAATAATAATAATAATAATAATAAAGTTTTTAATCTTTAAAAATCTATATTTGCATATATGATGTGATATAAAGGCAAGCATTGAATAAAAGAAGACAAAACCCCATGATGGGAGGTTGTTTTTCCTGTGGAAATTTTTGAAAGAAAACAAAAGGGAAATACAAAAATAAATTGGTTAGTTCTACGTACTAATACCCTCCAACTGGTGGATAGACTCCCCCCCACCCAATGGAGTGGTTTTGAGAGGGGCAACAAGAGGCCAACAAAGGGCATGTGGACATGAAAAAATATATATAGGGTCTGGGACCTCTAAGAGGGATACCCTACAGCATCACCCATATATATATATGTTGATGTACCCTTGAAGGCCAGATATGGCTGCATCCTTTAAATTATTAGGCCTCTATATCATCTACTTTTTGCCTCATAATAAAGACAACAGGTTTTGGTTCCTTGATTTTCCCTCCTGACTTGAATGGTGATGCTTCTTCTCAGCCCAGCATGGTGTGTGTATCACCTTTATTGCACAATTATTATATTCCTTATACACAACTTGCTACAAAATTCCTTAGTACCCTCACACCCAAAAAAAAAAAAAAAAAAAAAAAAAAAAACCATTCAAGAAGCAGCTGATATATATAACCATAAATTTGATGTTGTTGCATGGTTCAATCAACATTATTTAACTTATTTAATTTGCTTCACAAGTTCACATTTATCTCAGTTTTAATTGATTAGGTATTTGGTTTTGATTCAAATATTATCTCTTTGCTAGCAGTTGAGAATTTGGTTATTTTCAATTTTTTCAACCACCTATTTTGACTGCCCAAAAAGTAGCTAAAATTTTCAAGTTTTCTAATTGTCATTGGTGGTGATTTGGAATTTTTACCACCCTGAAAAATCACTTATTTTCTTTGACATTTTGTGACTATATATACAACAAGTGAGCTAATTTTTTTTTTTTTTTTTTGGTGACAGTCAAGTCCTCGACTACCTTAAAATGTCGCTTGCTTTCTTCCACATTTTCTAACTACTCACAAAGTAGATTTTTTTTCTTCAAAATTTTTAAGTTTTCTGACTGCCATTGGCTTGGTGGTGTGAATTTTGGACCACAAGGTTCTAAGTTTGTAGAATAATTGATTTGTAATCACAAGGTTCAAAATTTGACTCCCCATGAGGGATATTTATTCGCCTTCTTGGTTTGCGTTAATCAACTATAGACAATCTAGATTGGTTTACCTCATTGTGATCCTTTGTTGGCTAGGGTCACGAAACAGGTTTCACCTAAAGTGCATTGCATATTCAGGTAAAGATTGTGAATTTTATAATAAGGCTATGTTTTTCCGAGCTTAGTTAGGAGCTTATAGTTTATTTTGAGCTACTAATTGCTAAAAGTTTTGTTTGGTAATGTTTTCAAAAGAAGCTAGCTAGTAACTTAACATAAGAGTTTATTTTGAAAAGTTACCTTAGGTAGCGTTTCAAAAATAAGCTAAGAGCTTCCTAACTTTTTTCCATCTTTATCTTTATTATTTTAAATAAATGATATTTTTAATTTTATCCTTCCCAATTAAAACCCTTTTGGCCTTTTTTTTTCTTCTCTTATATTTTTATTCATCATCTTCCCCAACTCTTCACCACCCAGCAACTCCTTAAAGTTCTAACTACAATCCTCCGTTCATAAATAAATGACATCCTTTACCCTTAGTAATTAAAAAAAATCTTTTATTTTAATTTAATATATATTTCATATATATTGGCCCTGTTTGGTAAAATATTAGCCTATCAACTAATTTTGGCTTATTTGACCACTATTAATTGTTTGACTTGGTTAAAAAATCAACTCTAAAATGCTAAAATTCAAAAAGCTGATCAGCTCAAAGCAGCTTTTTCAATTAGTTTTTTGAAGAAAAAAAAAATTATACCAAACAGCTAACAGCTAATTTACCAAACACCTTCCTACAATCAGCTAATGTTATCAACTAGTTGTACTCTCTAATTAACCCAATCAGCTAAAATCTAACAACTATCAGCTAACCGCCATTTACCCAACAAGGCCAATTTATAAAAACAAAAACTTTTTTTTTATATAAATTAAATATATCTCATTTTTTTTTTGAATGCTACTGGCTCTATTACAATGTAGTATCTGTTCATATACTTTTTCATATCTCATATATTTAATAATATAAAAATAATATAATAATCCCATCATTTAAATTTTATGAAAATGTTTTTTTTAATCTTTTACATTTATATCAAAAAGCTAATTTTACGAAACAATTTTAAGCATAATCAGCTAGTTAACAGTTCTTCAGTTTTCAGCTTCTAGCTTATAGCTTTTTAACTTTCAGCTAGGTTTGCCAAACATAGCCTAAATCAAAGAATTTTGGACCACTTTTGATGGATTGTGTGAAAAGTTCATTACTTTGAAAAATAAAAAATAAAAAATTCCGACTTTGATGTGCCGAACACACTAACAGCACGTTTAGTTCACGGAATGAATTTTGAGGTAATAGAAATGATATTCCATAAGGAATGGAATATGTAAGGAATAGAATAGAAATTGTATACTATTGTTTGGTTCGCAGAAGGAATAGACTTTAGGAATTATATTACAGTGTTTGGTTGATTTAAGGAATAGAAATGAAATATGTTTTAAAAGACATAAATACCCTTATAAAAATATGTTATAGTGGTGGTGGTGGTGGCAGTGGCAGTGCGGCGGAGGTGTTGGTGGTGGCGGCGGCGGCGGCGGTGGTGATGGTGATGGTAGCGGTGGCGGTGGTGGGTGGTGGCGGCGGCAATGGTGGCTGTGGTAGTGGTGGCGGCGGTGTGGTGGTGGTGATGTTGGTGGCAGTGGTGCGGCGGTGGTGGTGGCAGCGGTGGGAGGTAAAATAGGAAATAGAAACTTTACTATTCCTGAGAACTCAGGAATAGCCTAATATCAGGGGCCCCCTAAGAATCTCTATTTTCCTTGCAAGGAGAATAGATCATTCCCGGAAACAATGTTCCTAGGAATACAAGTGGTTACCAAACAGAGGAATAGACCTATTACTGGGAATGCTATGCCATTCCAGGCCTGTTCCGTGAACCAAACAGACCATAATACATATCATATCGGTTACTGATAAGAATTTGAATTAATATATGAAACTGAATTGAACCAAATCTACACTCATGAACTCAACTTTTGTGCTCTAATTAGAGCTAATTAAGTTGGTATCACTTTACCCTTCCTACTTCCAAGCACAGAATTTTCAACTTCTAAATACGGAGCCTTTCGTTGAAAGGAGGAAATTAATCTTGTAACCAGGATCAGGGATGATATACATGGGCCAATGATATGTAAACAGATATCTCTATCTAGCCATTAATTACAGAAGACTTACAGTAGCAGTCTTAATTGGCTTCCTGTTAATGATGGGCCGCAGCACAAGTTTTTAATACTCCCATCACTCAGCTCATCAGATCACCATGCTAGCTAGCTAGCTAGCTCTGAAAGGAATTCTCAAGAAAAAGGCATAAATTATTACATTGTACATATTTACTGTTCATCAAGTCTGTATAATATATATAAACGACAGGAGATTTTTCCAGGTGAAGCAGACCAAGACAAATAATGGTACCTGTGAAGACTAAGCTTGAATTGTGACAGAAATGCAGTAGTTCACTGTTCTGATTACATATTTAATTAGTAACTTTTGACTGAATTGAATGCTTATCTGTGCTACCCTTTTTGATTTGACAGTTAATGTGGGTAAAACCAAAAAACAATAACAAAAGCTTAATAGTAATGACTAATGACTAATGATTAATAATACTACCTTTTTTACTCCTTCTGTCCCATTTTGCATGTCTTACTTTCCTTTTTTGTTTGTCCCAAAATGTTGTCCTCTTTCTAAAATTGAACATCACCATCATTTTACTTTTTCCCAAATTACCCTTATGACTTTTGCTTTTATTTTCAAAAGTGAAAAAGTGAAGGGCATAATTGGAAAATACATAGCATTTATTTTAATTCCTTAAAAAGCGTGCAAAAAGAAAATGAGACAACCAATTCGGGACGGAGGGAGTATTTGACAGTTAATAATGTGGGTAAAACCAAAGAAAAACAAAAACAAAAGCTTATAGTAATGACAAATGATTGAGTAACACTAAACATATCTCCTGAGAATAAAAACTAAAACATATCTCTTACTTTTTATTTCTTTATTTTACTTTCTATTGATGTGACCTGTGCTGATACGAAAAAACAAATAAATCACAATTTTTATTCATTTCATTTTTTTTTCAATAAAATCTAGACACGTGAGACTCCATAATTGATAAGTTAACCGAATCTAATTTAATTCTATAGTGGTAGGGATACCAAATGTTGTACTAAAGAAGTCTAAATATAGCTTGTATCAGTGCTTCCTGAGTGATAGATTATAGATAAGGACACAGAATTAAGTCCTGACAGTTGGAGTTTCACTCATTGTAGTGAGTTCTTTGTGTATAAAAGCGGATCCTCCTATCTAATAGATCACTGAGTCGTCAAGATTTATCTTTCTATTATCTTATTGAACCAGAATTTGAGGTCTTGAGGGTGAAATAATTTCATCATTATCCTATGACTTAAGTTTTACTTTTGAATAGTAAACATATTATCATTTCCCAATGGTAATTTATGAGAGAAGCATTGAAATGACTGTTACCCAATGGGGAGGTGGCCATTTACACAAAAATTGATGAACACATGGCCTTGCACAATCACCATGTACCACCAAAACCAAATGTCAATGGCCAAAAGCCAACTGGCAACTTTGATTCTTCACAAAAAGTGATGCCCAAAAAAAAAAAAAAAAAAAAAAAAAAAAAAAAAAAAAAAAAACAGAACCAAACGACATAACCAAATAACAAAAACTAGTCTAGGATTTGAGCATGCTGCCACTGGTTTTCTGTACCTTCCCTTTTCCTCCCTATAAATACTCCCCCATACTTATCCCTTTTTTCACCACCTACCCTCATTCTTCACACCCAAAACTGGGAGTTTTGTAAAGAAAAAAAAGTAAAGTTTTCAAGAATGAATCTATCAGGTTCTGAGTGCAGTTCTGGGTGCCAATCTGGGTGGACAACTTACTTTGATCAGAACTCAAATTCTGAAGATCAATTCAACAGCAGATTTCATGGTGAAGATCATAGAGGGGGAAAGATGGGGTTTTGCAGTGAGGATGAGGACTTGTCTATGGTCTCTGATGCATCCTCAGGGCCACCACATTTTCGCGGTGGCGAAGAAGAAGAAGAATATTTGTATAAAGGGAAGCAGAAAAGGAAAAGTACAGAGATTTGGGGTGATAAACAAGAAAGGTGTTATCTTGATGATACTGCCAGTTCCCCTGCATTGAGTTTCCCTTTTAAGGTTCAATGAAACAGCTCATTTTTAGGCCTTTTGGAATTGTTTTTTCATTGCCTGTTTGATTGTATGGTGACATTCTGGTTTTTTTTTGGTTTCCAGGAAAACACAGCTTCCATGGAGACTAATGTTCCTGGTGTCTCTGAGAAACATCTTAAGGTTCTTGTCTCAATTCTCTAGCATATAACCATTAATGTGCAATCCAACTATCAGCTTAGGCTTTTAGTTGAGATGGAGCACATGCTTCAATTTGGTATCAGAGTCAGACTTAATGTCATGGAGCTTTTAGTTGAGATGAAACACATGCTTCAATCCCACTGTCCTTTTTCTTTTCTCCATTTTTTTTAGTCACCCGAAACCCCAGCCTGTGACCTTAACCGACAAAGGACCAGAAAATGATAAACCAGCCAGGTTACCAATAATTGATCGGCTCAAACTAAGATGACCAATAGTCCACTCAGGCAGGGAGTCAAAATTTTTATTTTGGTCATTTTAGCATTTAGCAATGTTGTGTTAATGCAATCTGTTATTCGTTTCAGGGTAAATCTGTTCTTGGGAAGCACTTTGGATTCTTGAAATCATCTAAAAGTGGCAAAGCTGCTTCCCTCAAATCTGGTGAGTTAACACATTATTCTGCTCAAACTGATGTTTCTTTACTACATTCTATGGGGAAAAAAAACAGTAAATTTTGCTGCAACTCTTTACACTAATGCCATGTTCAACATCCTTAAAAACTCCAAATTTGTGATGATGACTGTGTTTCTTGACAGGTGGTATGAAGGGGAGAAAGTAGCAGAGAGAAATGGCAAAGTTCATGTTCTCTGTCTCTACTGCTGCACCTGCAGATGATGAATAGAGAAAGAAGATTTGTTATTTGTTATCTTTTTTTTTTTTGGGTGGGGGGTGGATCAATGATCATGATGATGGATGTAAATAGAAAAAAGGCATCAGATTTATTATTTGGATCTTGTTTTTGAGTAACGAGGGAAACTCACAGTCACTGTTCGAGTGTATCCTAGTCAGTAAAGGACAGATAAAGTAGCTTAGGTTGCGGACTGGCTCAAATCAAGAAGATCAATAGGCTGCTCGTTTCGGGAGAGTAGAATTTGTATGTGGATCTTGTTTTTGAGTAACGAGGGAAACTCACACCCACTGTTCAAGCGTACCTTAGTCAGTAAAGGGCAGATAAAGTAGCCTAGATTGCGGACTGGCTCAAATCAAGAAGATCAATGGACTGTTCGTTTCGGGGAGTAGAATTTGTATGTGGATCTTGTTTTTATCTACTCTCCTTTGAATATGTTAATCCATCTTTGTTATTTGTTCCTGTCTATGTAGTCGGAAACAACCTGAAATATAAGAAGAAAATTTTTGTTTATAGTTAATTGGCAGTTGCAGCAGATTATCTTTCACCATCAGTAACAGTAGTCACACCATAAGAACTGTGTTTTTGGTGATTTACCAAATGGCTACTTTAGTAATTATATTCTCATGTGTTTTCTTGACCTCGTCACAACTGTCATGTGTACAACTAAAATATCTTGACCACGTGGAAGTGACTAGAAAGTTGAAATATGCTCATTCTTATATACGATGAAAAAAAAAAAAAAAGCAACATTGCATAAGGTGTTAGTCGGACGTTCGAGGGTGCCTAGTGCCAGGAGGACGAATCAGTCTTATTAGATTGAAGAATGTGTTTAGTTTTAACTATAACACTTAAGTAAATAGATATTATTTTCAAGATCTTTTATCTGCTTTATTGTTAAATTTAATGATGTATTTTATCTCAATTAAAATTTCAAACTAATAGTTGAATTAAGAAAAAAAATCATATATGAATTATGAAGATTGATTCACTCTAAGCTCTCTTTTTTTCTACCAAAAAGAACCCCACACTCTAATGCCAGCTACCAATAAACCATATATAATTACATTGCTCAATTATTGAATTTTGATTTAACGAGAGAAGTGAATGTTGCAAGAAGGAGAGAGTTTTAAATTAACTTGACATAATACTGTTACTTAGGGCAGTCATTATGATTTAAATGGTTTATTATACTTTCGGGTAGTTGACTTGGTAATCACATGATTTTAAGTTTGATTCTCCGTGTGAACTGGCTTAATTAAGTCTTTTCGGTTTGTGTCGGTCAATTATAAACAACCTAAATTAGTTTATCTTATGGTAATTTTTGTTGACTAGGATCTCAAGACAAACTTCGCTTAGAATGCACTTTCATATAGCAACTGCATATTTTTTTGAAAATCAAAATTCAATGAACTTATAATTTATATATCGAATAAAGGGGCACCTTAAAATAGAAGTGATTTTTTTTTTTTTTTTAAGAAGAAGTGATTTTAGCATTTTTGTTTAGTAGTATCAAAAGTTTATACTCTTTTTTTTTAACAAATATTATTGACTCTATTACAAGGTAATATCTATAGTCCAAAAATCATATCTTTAATTATGTCATTTTAGTAGCTCTAACTTTACATATCTCTAGATACAAGAAAAATGTCAATGGAGTCAAATGACTTTAACGCAAAAGCATTAATTACTTTTGTGTTTTTAGATTTCTTCCATATCAATCACCTGTATTTACAAGTTCAAAGCGTATTTGCTTGCACGGACTTAGCTCATCGTTAGTTCGGTAAGCAATATTTGGAGAAGTTCAAGGCGGATTTATTTCAAGACACAAAAGTATTACATTTTAATTTCTTTAAAAAATATTACTCACCTCAGTATTACAAAAGATCAAATGTTTATAATAATAATAATAATAATAATAATAATAATAATAATAATAATAATAATATTATTATTATTATTATTATTATTATTATTATTGTACTATTGTCCTTATTGATTTATATAATTATTATAGTGTAATTATACTTGCTATTATTTAAAATGGTACATTAAAAAAAAAAAAAAAAAAAAAAAAAAAAAAAAAAAAAAAAAACTCTACAATAATGTGCGAATAGAAATTTATTAAGTATTTCTTTTTTTACCTTTAAAAAAAATTATTGCAAACACAACAAAACTAAAGAGAGGCATATATACCACAATGACTAGGAAGACTTTGTACGATGGATCGACTGAGAATGTGTTGACAATAATCAAATTCATAACCTTTTAGTATAAGAATCATGTTTTACTACTCATTCATAGACTTTGTACGATGGATTAAGTTTTTTGTTGAGTTAGTAGTTGGTGCAAACTGTCTAATTTGATGGAGATATCTTGGTTCCAATTCTTCCAAATTTTGAAATGAAGGTGTGATCATATCTTGGAGCATGAAATGAGATTAAGGAAAAGGACAAGAGCTCCAGCTATTTGTCCTGAATCCTGACAATCTTCATTCCATGGTACACTAATAATTGCTATAATATCATAGAGAAGAGTTCCAGTTTGAATCATTGAAATGATATGCACTACGTGGCTTCTTTTTTTTTTTTTTTTGCTAGGTGGTCGATTCAAAATCCATAAAAAATTATTTCTTTTTTAAATAATTAAATAACAAAGAAATACTAAAACCATACCCAATAATTTCCTTCTTTTTTTTTTCTTTTTTTTTTGTTGCAAATTCTTTACCGATCGATTGGACCATTAATTGTAGCTTATAAATCTAATCAATGATAGACATGATGATACTTTCGTGACCTGACTCAAATACCACTTGTTAGGATTATACGCTTATTATTATGCTAAAAGCTAGTTCGTAGGGATGATGCAATTTTAATTCATTATTATACATCTATATTTTCAAGAGGTAGGGTGCTGGACTTAGCCATTCACTGACCTCCGCCCAACAAAATTAAATCAAATTGACTTATGTGTTTCATCTTAACTAAAAACTTAATATGATAGTTGAACTACACATTTATATTTTATATATTATGTGCTCAACAATTATTTAAAGTAGTGATCTAACTCATCCTCAAGTTACATCGTACCATGAATCCATAAAATTAATTTGAGCTCATACAGTTCCACTAGTACACAGCTCGATCAACTAGTTAACCAATCTAAAATAAGTTCATAAATTTTGTTTTACTAACAGTAGCAGGGTGTAATGTTCGAATCTTATCAAGGACAAAAAGAAAAAGTGAGATATGAGTTTGGCCTTATTGTGGACACTAGTATACAAGTATTTGGATGTATGTAGTCCAATTGAGACACATCCCACAATTTACCTTATCCATGTTCGAATCCTACCCAGGACAAAAAAAAAAAAAAAAAAAAAGCCGGAAGAAGTGAGATATGAGTTTGGCCTTATTGTGGACACTAGTGTACAAGTATTTGAGTGAATGTAATCTAATTGAGACACATCGCACAATTTACCTTATACAGCAATATAATCCGTGATAGACCCTTAATTTGAGTTCAAACTTATAATTAATTAGAGTTCATCCCTTTATTAGTCTTCTACTATATATAATAACAAGTTTTAGTACTTTACTACTTTTAGTCATCAATTTCAATTTATTCTACATTTTCTTAAACCTAGTCAATTTTAAAAAGCATTTCACTTTTAGTTCAAAATGTCCAAATTACCCTTGTTTTGTGAAAATTTAACCAAACTCCACATTTATTTTAGACATTTTGAATTCTAATAAAAGGACAAATCAATATAAATAAAAAATAAAAAAAAGTAAAAACTGTCAATTATTAAAAAAAAAAAGTGAAATACTATAATAAATTATTTATTGCATTTAAAGTCAAACTCTTGTCCAACAGTGACATACATTTTTGTCCATATTGTGTTAAATTAAAAATAAATATAAGTGAGGCCTCGTGATTGCTTACCGGCAAATTATTTTGTGGACCATGGTTCACATAGTGTTATATGAAGTATAATAAAAAGTACATTTTTAATATACTAAAAGTATATTATTTGTGTACTGAATGCACATTATATAAAATAATATATTTTTAATATTCACATAATGTATTTTTTCTGAATATACAATATATATTTTTAATATATTAAAAGTACATTATTTGTGTTATGAATGTATATTGTTTAATAGTATGGTCCACACAACTGTAATGATTGTCGCTTACCCATATTTATTTAATTTCTTTAATGTAGGGCAGCAATTATTGAATAAATCCATACACACACGTGCATACACACGTAGATCAGAAGACACATGCAAGTGTTTATGGATAAACATTGAACTCTCAAATTAAAGTCGTCTTTGACTAATATTAATGTAGTTTGCAGTTCACATACTTTGATGATGAACACATGAAAGCCAAGAATGAAACAATTAAGTAGCCTCTTGTTTGCGGAATCTAGGGAGAGAATCTTTGAACTAGGTTTAATTTCATGCCACTAATTAGTAGTTAGGTCTGCTTCCACCTTCTTTGTGTTTATACACAAAAACATATTTTTGAGTAGGAAACCTTCAATGAGAGGATGTAATGAGAAGCCTCATTTATGTTGAATCTCTAATCTTAAGGGATCTTCACACTCCGGTCTGACAGAACATTTGGGATTATATAAATCACAAGTGACTAGAGTATTTGGGATTATGTAAATTACAAGTGACTTAATGGTTCAACAGACATGGCCAAATGTCAATGTGCACAAGGGATTTGCCCACTTTGGACATAATCCCCACACTGCCGCCGCCGAGGTTCGAACATTGGTCTCTTCTCCCAAATACTGGTCACTGAACCATTGAGCTAAGCCCGTGCGGACAAAACATGTTAATTCTAGCGATAGGGTGAGGATTTGATTCTTGCCACGAACATTGGAGTTTGGGTTTCGATTGAATTCTTTGTGCACAAGAGTATAAAGTTTAGTGTTGCGTTTCAAAATTAGATTGACTCGATTTACCTTCTCATAAACTTGAACAGGTTAATGGATAAATAGAGTCTAAGATATAAATCAGCGAAGCCAAGAAACTTGGATTATTTTTTAAAAAAAAAAATGAAGAAGGAGAAGAAGAACAAATGGGTTAGAACTTAGAAAGTAATGGTAGCTGGCTAGAAGCTAGCTCGTATATCACTCAAGTTACCTCTGGCCAATCTTTTGTTTTGTTTCTTTTGTTTTTTGTTTTTTTTTGTTTTTTGTATTTTTTTTTAAACAAAAGGGAAATCACTCATTTAAAAAATCAAAGAGGATAATATCTAACAAAATAATGGGAGGCCGGCTATAAAACTAGACCCTATGATTAGGCATACAAACAAGAGGATGATTCAATCATGAGTTTTAACCTTAACTCAATAGAATGTTATGTTATATAGTTATTATTTATATTTATTTATAGGACGATTATCTACTTTTAAACAGGTAAATTTAATACATGAAATATTCTAACTTCATTCATTCTACATATTAGTGACTCATTCAAGTTTTATAAATAAAA